ATAATTAAATAATTAGGACTGACAGTATGTTCCAGTTATGAGAGGATGTTTTGATGGGCGCGGAGTTACTACAACTTCTAATTGTGGATTCTCTTTTGCGAAAGGGATTAAATGATTTTGAAGATATTCGCTAAATATGCAAAGGATCTAGTTAAATTCAGATGAAAATATTAACGAAATTATTTAAAGAATAAAAGTTAAGAAAAAAAAACTCTCACATCATTCCACGACTACTTCCACTACGTTCACAATAATTAAATTCAATCTTGCGACATGAGAAAACGAACGCACCAACTCCATTTTTAGCTATCGTAATTAATGGTTTTGTCAACATCAAAAATAGCGTTAGAAAAAGAAACCGTGATCGGGAAGGAATTTTCATGTGATACAAAAATACACGTTTTACTTCAAATGATCTACATACTAAATATGGATAGATTAATTCCTATTCATCAAACTAAGTTCATCTTCCTGTTGTTACTAGGATCCTTTTTAAACATGTCACATATTGTAAAACGCTGTCGTACCGAAGGAGACGAAGAAGAAGAAGAAACAAGTAGTAAATCAAAAACAAATGGCATAGGTTCTAAAATACCAGCAGTTTTAGAAGATAGTATATTTGGAATACAACCAGTTAACGATTTTGTTAGAGTTGTCAGCGACTTTTTATATTATCATGTTGGAAGGGAACATATTGAAGTAAAATAATTTATCGATTATTTCTAAATTATATTTAATAATTGCTAAACATTTTAAATTTTCTAGATCGAAGCCAAGTTAGGAGTTTTAGTAAATAAACAAACGCGTGAACGAATAAATTTACCGGTAAATTGCGAGACAGGTGGGTATATTTAATAAAATGTCAGTATTTCTCCAAATTCTTTACTAATGCTGTGCTATATATATGTTCTCTTAGTGATAAAGCCTGACGAAAGCAGTTGGATGTCATTTGAGAGTAATATGACTCTCGTAAGAAGCTCAAGATGAATTTGGCATTCGAATTCTCGTATCGGATTAAACAGAAATCCTTGATTTATTATTTAGGAACAACATCGACATTTCAATGAGCTACTAAATAAACGTTTCACCGAAACAAAATCTTCAACATTCAAAGTAAGTTATTGATTAATTAAAAATCATAAACAAAACTTAATCAAAGTATCCTATAAATATAAATTAGGGAAAACCTATAGAATACAAACACACATATGAAACCGATAGATTTTACATCGTAGGGAATGGAAAAATCAGAGTAACAAGTAATCAAAAGACCGGAGAGGTATATATATAATGTGTGTATTTATTATTTTTTTAATACACCATTTCATCAATAATTCTTCATTTTTTGATAGATCATCAAAGGTGGTATCGTCGAAAAAAATTCGTGTTGCAAATTTGGATATTTACTCACCAAATACAAAATTAGATTATCGTATTTCTGTAAACTTAGAAAGGCCGAGTAAGTTTTGAGAATCGATTATTCGATTTAATTATAAATCATATTTAATCATATTAATTCCCATTATTCATTTTACAGGGGGAATGCCGAATGGGTCACATAGTTTTGAGAGGAATAAAGATAGGTTGTGTTACACTCATCAAATTATTAAGGTTGATTTAACTCAAGTCAAGGGAGCTGATGCAAGTTTAATTTAATATAATTTTA